TTGTGTCAAACTCGGTTCGATCAATTGAAAGAGCTTCTTACCAAAGTCCCAACGCTAGGTCATCCAGATCTTCGTTATCCTTTTGCGGTCGCTACTGATGCCTCTGATGTGGGTATTGGTGCTGCCTTGTTCCAAGTCATTGACGGCAAAAAGCGTTACATTGCGTTTATGGCTCGTTCGCTCAATAAGCATCAACGTCGCTACAACATCTTCAAACGTGAGTTACTCGCTGTTGTCTTTGCCTTGCAAAAGTTCCACAAATACCTTTGGGGCTCCAAATTCCAATTGTTCACCGATCACCAAGCTTTGGTATACTTGCACTCCCAAAAGCTTGCCAACGATATGATGGCTCGTTGGATGGCTACTCTCATTGATTACAATTTTGAAGTTGTACACATCCCTGGTGCCGATAACACCCTACCTGATCATATGTCACGCCTTTATCCAGAAGGTCCAAGGCTGGAGGGGGGTAATTTGGATATCATCGGCACAATCCCAGGCGTCACACAACAATCACCAATGGGAAAACAGCTTGATAAAAAGAAGAAACATGCTATCAGACGTACGCTTAGATCTCAATCAAAAAACCAAAAGCATGGAGTTGCCAATGCACCCGATACCAAACAACCAACTCCATTAACAGGTCTACTTACACAGGACTATATCCCTGACATGTGGACACCACCACCTAATGAACGCCAAAAGATCCTTGATGAGCACCATCTCCTTGGCCATTATGGTGCGGATGCAATCGTTGCTGCTATTCGTAGTAATGGGATGAATTGGACATCAATGCGCCAACAGGCTCTGGATACAGTCCGCCGATGTTTCAATTGCCAGATGTTCAACGTATCACGTTCTGGTTTCCATCCTCTGAAATCAATAGAAGCAAAGCGTCCTGGTGACCATTGGGCTATCGATACTGCCGGTCCTTTACCAACCACAAGCCGAGGCTACAACTTTGTACTCGTTATGGTTGACATCTGTACACGCTTTTGTATATTAAGACCATTACCTTGGAAAGATGCAGGACATGTCGCTGAGCAGCTAACCGGAGTCTTCTGTGAATTCGGGTTTCCACAGATATTGCAATCAGACAACGGCACCGAGTTTGTAAATGAAATCGTGCAAAATCTTGCTGAGACTTGCGGTATTGATCACCGCCTCATCACACCCTATCATCCTCGCGCCAATGGTGCAGCTGAGGCATGGGTCAAGAAGACCAAAGAAACTGTCAGCAAACGTTTGGATGGTATACGTGGTGCATGGGACTTTTTCTTACCAAGCACACAGCTTGCATTGAATAACAAAGTACCCAAACGTACCAAAGTGAGTCCTTTCGTCGCTATGTTCGGTCGTCGTCTCAACGCGTTCAAGGACTACCGTAGTGATGATGGACCATTGGCCGACTTGAATGTTGAGGACCTCATTGAAAGAATCGAGCACATGGAGAACGTTCTCTTCCCCACCATTAGGAAAAGAGCTGAGCAGTACAGCAACCTGATGAAAGAGAAGTTCAACATGAAGCACAAACTCGTCGAGTTTCCCACCGGAAGCCACGTAATGCTGCGTGACAGGCTTAACAAAGCTACCTTCAAGCGCAAATATGCAGGCCCATTTCAGGTCATTCGTGTAACCAAAGGCGGCTCTTACATCCTTCTTGATGAGGATTCGGGAAAAGAAGTACCACACCGCTTTGCACCATGGGACCTTAAACCTGCTTCATTAGATGAGCTTGAAGCCGACCCAACCGAACGAGAAGAACATTTTGTGGTTGAAAGGATCATCGACTACAAGGGTACCAACCCCAACAATCTTGAATACCTCGTTCGCTGGAAAGGTTATCCTCCTTCTGAAGACTCATGGATTCCACCCCAAAACTTTGATGACCTTTATCTCGTCGAACAGTTTTGGAAAGACCGTGATCCACCACAATTCCTTCACCACAGGGAGACCAAACGTCGGAGAAAACACCATGCATAAATAACGCATGACCCTGCGCTAGTATACCACCCAAGTGCCAACCTGGAGGGGGGTGATGTTGTATTCAGGCTATCCATCATACCCAATAAAGATCCAACATGTG